CCCTCAACAGTCTGCAGAATCCCCTCACTGATTACACTGTAAATGATAATCTACCTTAACCAAAATCAAAGTAGACTATCACTCACCCACACCAGATGGAAAACTCTACAGACTGCCGGTTCACACCCCATCACAATATATATATATATATAAAGAGGGGGACCATCAAAGGCATGCAGACAGACATTTGTAGCAGCCAGACTGCAGAGACTACAGCGACCGTATCAGATCGGGACACTAGCTTGTATACATTCATCGCATGGGTGCATGGTGTTCGGAGGAATATGGTACGGAGCTCCTCACAGAAATCAGCGCAGCGAGGATGACAGAAGAATGCCCCTGACTGTCGTTCGGAACATCCGTTAAAACTGGAACGATAACGATACAGTTAAGACTACCGTCTTCACCCGAATAAACGCCCAGTCATTATAGCTGCATCTGGTCTGCAAGTTGCCCCACATACAGCTATAATGACCGGCCTTTCTTTTCGAGTGAAGAGGATAGCATCGCCTGTGAGCAAGGATGACACGAAAAAAGACAGAAACGTCCCTCATTGTTATGAGCACGCTCGATTGCCGGACATCCGCCATCAACTTGCCATTCAAGAGGGTATTTACCAAAGAGAGACAACATCTCAAGCTCAGAATGATTCCTGCCCTGAGTCCTGTGCAGCGACTTGCCAACACGCCACAGGCAAACATGTGTTTGACACTGTTTGTGGGATTTCGTGACATCAGGAACCACCTTTCCGGACAGGAAATACCCCTCGAGAGTTGCTGTCCCCCCCCAGTAACCCCATAAACGAGATCAGTATTGCAACCCCCCCCCTCTTGGTGGCATCCATTAAAATTGGAACGATACAGAGAAGGGTAATCAGTACCAACAATTACAATTAATTAGCAAATGGCCCCTGCGCAACGGATGAGACACATAAATCGAGAAATGCCACTCCCCGGCGCGGCCCCCGCCCCCCCAAAAAAAAAAAAGAATTGCGAAACATCATACATGCAATTTTTTTTATTTTTTTTATTTATTATTATTATTATTATTTTTTTTTTTTCCAAATTGCGAAACCCCAGGAGAGGGTGATGAGGACAGACTCAAGAATGAGAGGGTAGGCTTCGAAGGACCAGAACTCACTCCCAGGGCCCGAGTCTTATTGGCATCACTTTCACAGCAGTGTTACGATCCTGGCCAATTTTGAAGTCCACAACCATCAGAAAGTACAATGCTGCCCAAATGCAAAAGAAATAATTGAACTTGAGCTCAACTCCATCCAATTGCAAAATGAAATGAAAGAACTTGAAAGGAGAGAGAGGGAAAGAAGAAGAAGAAGAATTAGAGAAGAAGAAGAAGATGTACTTCGGCATAGACCAAAACAAAGCTCTTCTTCTTCGCTCAACAACCTCCTCCTCTTTATCTCTTCCTCTCTTATTCAACT